TCCCTGGTTTTTTTTTTTTTTGAGACAGGTGCCAGGATTACAGGTGTGAGCCATTGCACCCGGCCTTTTTCTTCCCTTTTATTGAGCACTTCTTTTATTCATTCAACAAAAATTTTTGAGTGCCTACCATGTGCTTGGCAGTGTCCTAGCTATTAGAGATGGCAGCAATCAACAGGGCACCTGAAAACCTCTGCCCTCCTGGAGCTATCATTCTGGAGGGAGGAAGATGATGGTAGAATAAAGAAGTAAATTATAACATGTTAAAAGATAAGTGCTGTGGAGAAAAACAGATCCAGCACTTGGTTAGGGAGTGCTGGAGGTGATGATGGGAGGGTCAGTCGGGAAGGTTTTGCATGGTGGGAGTAAGGTTTTGCGTGGTAGCTTGTGAGCATAGGAAAGTGAAGGAAGTGAAAGGCTGAGTCAGAGGACACCTGAGGGAGGAGCATTCCAAGTGAAGGGAGGAATAAGGGCAAAGGCCTGTGTAAGGAACAGCAAGTAGCCCAGGGGTGGAAGAGGAGCAAGCAAAGGAGAGGAGTGGGAGATAATGGGTCCAGAGACTTTGTTGGGAGGACAGTGAGAGGGAGGCTGAGCAGAGGCAGATATGATCTGACCTACATTTTTTGTTTGTTTGTTTGTTTGTTTTTAAGACTAGAGTCTCGCTCTGTCACCCAGGCTGAAGTGCAGTGGCGTGATCTCGGCTCACCGCAACCTCTGCCTCCTGGGTTCAAGTGATTCTCCTGCGTCAGCCTCTTGAGTAGCTGAGATTACAGGCACCTGCCACCATGCCCCGTTAATTTTTGTATTTTTAGTAGAGACGGGGTTTCACCATGTTGGCCAGGCTGATCTTGAACTCCTGACCTCAACTGATCTGCCTGCCTCGGCCTCCCAAAGTGCTGGGATTACACGTGTGAGCCACCACGCCTGGCTGACCTACATTTTTAAAGCATGACTGTATAATCTGTTTTCAGAAGCTTGAATATTATCATTTTGGAACATACTCCCTAACACCCTATTAACAGATTCATACAACTTTGTATTTTTGTGGAGCTCTTTGTATCATGGTTCTGATAGGCCTCTTCAGTAATCAGTTTTGATTTTGATCATTCTCAATATTTACAAGGTTGCTGCCACTGGCCCCCCTCACCGCTGCCCTGCAGTCCCTTCACAGTGTGAGCTGTGGTGATGGTGGGGAAGGGCCTGCCAGGGTCCTGACCCCCACCAAGGACCTCATTATCAGCCACACCCTGTTCTTTTCTCTTTGCCGGTTTTAAAGCTTGAAAGGAAAGAAGTTAGAAACCCCTGCTCCTGGGAGATAATAGTTTGTAATAAGATGTTGATACTAACATAAGTTCCCAGAATTGTTTTTAAAAAACATCCTGCCACATACTAATTAGTTGGCATTTGCATAGGTGTTAGCATGTTAGAAATATACAGGAAAAGCTCTGTGATTTGTTTCCCCCTGGACCACTGTAGTCTGTGCTCCATGGTGTCCCCCATCCACTGGTGCCCCAGCATCTATTCTCCATGTCGCATGCCAAGCAGGCTACTCCACACACCTCTCATGGCACTTGTCCCCAGCTTCAGTGGCTTCCTGCTGTTCTTGGTATAGAACAGAGCCCTCAACAAGCACTCTCAAGGCCCCTCATGGTTTGACTGCAGCTTTGTGTCCCACCCCGCTGGCCATACTGACCTCCCTGCCACAGGTCTTGCCCGCAGGCTCCTGTCTGGAAGTCCTTTTTGCTTCTAGCTGCACAAGTATAATTAACTCCACTTCATCAGTTGGATCTTACCCCAGCTACCGCTTTTTTTTTTTTTTTTTTTTTGGAGACTGAGTCTCACTCTGTCACCCAGGCTGGAGTACAGTGGTATGATCTTGGCTCACTGCAACCTCCGCTTCCCAGGTTCAAGCGATTCTCCTGCCTCAGCCTCCTGAGTATCTGGGATTATAGGCGTGTGCCACCATGCCCAGCTAATTTTTGTATTTTTAGTAGAGATGGGGTTTCATCATGTTGGCCAGGCTGGTTTTGAACTCCTGACCTCAAGTGATCTGCCCGCCTCAGCCTCCCAAAGTGCTGGGATTACAGGCTTGAGCCACTGTGCCCAGCCCCAGGTACCACTTTCTTTGTGAGCTTTCCCAAGACTAAGTCAGATGTCCTTCTGAGTTTTCATTGCTTTGTCTGCCCCTCTTCACAGCACTCCCTACAATGGCAAGTTTGTTGTTATTTTGTATCATTTGGTTACTGTGAGTTTCTGCAGCCTACAGCTCTGTGAAGTTAAAGGATGCTTTTTTTGCACATTGTTATATCCTCAGTACCCAGCACGGTGGCTGGCTTCTAAGAGGAGCTCAATAAATAGGAGAAAGAAGGAAAAACCCTCTTTGTGTTTAGAGGGGGACCTGCAGTCAGTCTGGGTAAGAACAAGGAACTATCTACTTCACTTTCCCACAAGGTCAGAGCTGGCTATTTCGGTGCCACAGGTGTCTTCTCTTTCTCATTCTTCTCCTAACCTTTCTCTCATCCCACTTCCCTGTAAACGCATAGGATGGTATGCGGCCTTGTGGAGTGTGTACCACACAGAGGGACCTAGGAAGTGTTTGCAGGCACAGGAAGACATTGCTGTTCTGGGAGGTTGTGCCTGAGTAGATACACAACTTTCCATGAGTAAAGTCATCTTGTATTTGCAGGGACTGTTTACTTTGTGTTCGAAACTCATCTTAATGACTGAAATGACTGCTTTCCAAGGAGGGAGGATTAATTGCTTTATCCAATGGGAATCTCACAGTGGGGACTCCATGGAATCCACCTGGAATTAAGTAGTCAGGAGAGGACACCTTCCACACCCCTCGCTGACTGCAGGATTCTTCGTTTCTGTACAGCCTTCTCTGCTGGGTGATGAATGGGATATTTGCCAATACATTTGGTTCTTTTTTTTTTTTTTTGGTGAAAGACTATCTGTAAGAAAACCAACCACTGAACTAATAGTTTAAAATATTCAACCTCACTAGTTGGGGAAGACATGGAAATTTTTTTAACACCATGGGGCCCCAGTCCAGCTTTGTAGCATGAGCCACTGAGGAAGGAGCTCAGGATCTGGTTTGAACAACTGCACAGTTGACTGTCCTGAAAAGGTTGAGAAACAGTGGCCTGTTTGTAAGTTACCATCTAGAGCAGTGTGTCTCCGTTTAATGTGTATCTAATCACTGGAGGCTCCTGTCTAATATTCAGAATCTGACTCAGTAGGTTGAGGGAGGCTGGAGCGTCTGCAGTCCTCATCAGCTTCCAGGTCATGCTGCTGAAACTATGAGTAGCAGGATCTTCTGGAACAAACAGTGTTCATCCCAACTGCTTACCTGGAGAGCTTTTAAGCTTCTGATTTAATAGTTCTTGGATGGAGCCTGGACATTGGTAATCTTTTAATCTTCCCACTTGATTTGAATGAGCAGCCTGAGTTTTAAGAGCAGTTGATCTGTGGAGAGGTTTTTACTTCAGTGACTACACCTGAAAAAGGGATGCCTTACCAGTCACCCATTCAGGCAGACTTACAATAAATATTTCAAGTGCTTCAGAACTTCAGAAGGCAAACATTCTTCACAGTTTTGATGGTTTGAAGTGTCTTAGTGACCATTAGTTCCCAAACCTGGTTTTCCATCACAATCTTATTGGAACTTTTTCTTCATTAATTACCTTTAAGATTTCTTGGTTTTGGATTTTTTTTTTGAGACAAGGTCTCGCTGTGTCACCCAGGCTGGAGTGTAGTAGCACAATCTCTCCTCACTGTAACCTCTGCCCCCTGGGCTCAAGTGATTCTCCCGCCTCAGTCTCCTTAGTAGCTGGGACCATAGGTGCCCTCCACTATGCCCGGCTCAATTTTTTATATTTTATATGACTATAAAAAATTTATATATTTTATTTATATTTGTATTTTTATATTTTTAGTAGTGAGGGAGGTTTTGCCATGTTACCTAGGCTGGTCTTGAACTCCTCAACTCAGGTGATCCACATTCTGGGATTACAATGTGAGCTACTATGCATGCCCAGCCCAAGGTTTTTTTTTTTTTTGAGACAGAGTTTTGCTCTGTTGCCCAGGCTAGAGTGCAGTGGCACAATCTTGGCTCACCGCAACCTCCATCTCCTGGGTTCGAGCGATTCTTCTGCCTCAGCCTCTCAAATAGCTGGGATTACAGGCGCCCACCACCATGCCCAGCTAATTTTGTATTTTTAGTAGAAACGAGGTTTCACCATCTTGGCCAGGCTGGTCTCAAACTCCTCACCTCGTGATCCACCCACCTCAGCCTCCCAAAGTGCTGGGATTACAGGCGTGAGCCACCACACCCAGCCGATGTTTTTTTAAATGCAAAATTTCAAGCAGTATAAAAGGAAAGAAGATATGATGAATTCCCATTTACCCTAAAGTACCCAGACTCAACCGTTATCAACTGATGGCCAATTTTGTTTTCTCTATACCCCCACCTCCTTCACCTTCTCTTGGATTATCTTGTTTTAATTTTTTAAAGACAGGGTCACCCAGGCTTAAGTGCAGTGGCACAGTGATGGCTCATTGCAGCCTTGAATTCCTGGAGGCTCAAGTGATCCTCCCAAGTAGCTGGGACTACAGGTATGTGCCACCATGTCCAGCTAATTTTTTTTTCTTTTTTTGTGGAGGTGGGGTCTCACTATGTTGCCAAGGCTCGTCTCAAGCTCCTGGCCTCAAGCAGCCCTCCCACCTTGGCCCCCAAACTGTTGGGATTATAGGCGTGAGCCACCATGCCCAGCCAGGATTATTTTGAAATAAATTCAAAAGTTTGTGGCATTTCATTCACAAATATTTCAGTATATATTTCTAAGAATTAAGGACTCTTTATAAATATAACCATAAGACCATTACCACACCTTTCAAATGTCCCATTAATTTTTTAATATCCAGTTACTGTTCAGATTTTCCCCAGTGTCTTACAATTTTTTTTTTTTGAGACAGAGTCTTGCTCTGTTGCCCAGGCTGGAGTGCAGTGGCGCGATCTCAGCTTACTGTAAGCCCCACCTCCCAGGTTTACACCATTTTCCTGCCTCAGCCTCCGGAGTAGCTGGGTCTACAGGCGCCTGCCGCCACCTCCAGCTAATTTTTTGTATTTTTAGTAGAGACAAAGTTTCACCATGTTAGCCAGGATAGTCTCAATCTCCTGACCTCATGATCTGCCTGCCTCGGCCTCCCAAAGTGCTAGATTACAGGCGTGAGCCACTGTGTTCGGCCGTGTCTTACAGATTTTTAAACCATTTCTCTGTCATCTTTTTAATCTTTTTTAAAATTAATCAAGATTCAGTGAGATTGGTAGGTTTGGTAAATTGCTTCATCTGTAGATTTTCAAGCCATCATATTTTTCTTGCAATGCGTTGAAGAAACTAGACTGATAGTTTTCCACACCTTAGGTTTTGATGATCACAGCCCCATGGTAATATTTATTTGTTGCTCCATCTCCTATGAACTGATCTACATCACACATGCAGCATGCATGCAAACGCCATTATTTTCCATTGTAACTTAACACCATAAGCACCTTACTTCTTGTGAGTCTTTATTTCAAGCTTTTTGAGGGAAAGATGCTTACAGATTCTTACAGATTCACAGTGATAGAAACTTAGGCAGTTTTCTTATTAACAGAAACCTGCATCTGCTGCCTTCAAGAGATGATGTCCCCATGTAACTTTGATCTTTCATTCTGCCATGTCCTACTACTTAACAAGTTGGTTCTTTTTAGAGACTAAATTTTCTCCTATAGAAGTTGAAGTCCCACTGCTTGGGTTCACGTCCCTGCTTCACTGTATGCTAACTAGTTGTGTGACCAGGGGAGAGTCTTAGCAGCATTGTGTCTCAGTTTCTTTATCTGTAAGATGGAAATAATATTACATATCTCATAGAATTGTTGGGAGGATTAAATGGATAATGTTAAGTAATTAGAACAGTGGTTGGTACACAGTAGCACTTAAATGTTCTTGTCAGAGCACTTGATAAAATGTCTGGGCAGCAAACATCATAATTACTGTTTTTCCTATTAGTTTAACTGAAAACAACACAGATGCTTATTCGGCTACTATATGATGAGAATACTACTCCCAATTTCATAATTCTATGCTTTTAGGTATCGTATTTTCCTATCCCTTCATTTCTGAACAAGGAAACAGACCCAGAGAGGTAGAATAACTTACCTGGGGTTGTACAGAGTCACAGGCAGAGCCACAGTTTGGACTTAGATTCCCCACTGATTTGTCCAGAGTGCTTTATGCCACACCGAGAGCAGCAGTTCCTCTGAGCTGGTTCTCAACAGGAAAATATGGTCCCGTCTGCTTAACGCTCTGCTTGTATTCATCGTATTCATTGAAATTGAGCTTTCCTATTTTGTGAATTAAGTGTTGTACTAAAACTTGATGATGTTTCTTTTTTCTAGATTGCCAGCATACTTTGTTGTCCCCACCCCTCTTCCTGAAGAGAATGTGCAGCGCTTTCAAGGTCATGGCATACCAGTAAGTGCATCTGGGAACCCTAAGAGACGTGGGTCGTGCATTGGTCTATCCTGGCAAAAATGATCCTACTGAAAGCCCTTGGCTTTGGTTCTAGAGTTTGTTTTCAGTCCAAGAGCAATCCAAAAATATCTTAGGGACTCCCTAGAGGAGTCTCTTAAACGTGATTGGGACAGAGTTCTAAAGTTTTCACAAATGCACTTGAGTTTTTAGAAGAGACATTAATGGAGCTTTAAGAGGATCATAGATCTGTCTGGTGTTGAAAGCAAGCCTGGTTTAACACCTAAGTCATTTTGAACCTGAGCCAAACCACACCAAGGGTAGTAGGATTTAAGCTTCTTTTGGCCCATGCCATTAATCTTTGTTCGGGCATGGTGGTGTTTTCTCCCAGAGAAAACATGGAGTGCTTCTTAGTTTTCACAGAATTGAGTGGGATTGGAGCCATATTTAATGTGTCACTGATCAAAGAAAGCAAGACTCTGGCAGTTACTCCAGTTTCTAATTGGCAGTTGGGAATTGCCAGACCTGCAGGGTATTTAGTAAGGAATGAGAATTATAAATAAATGCTGTGCTGTGCGCACAGCTGGTTCACCAAAAGGGTCACTCCCATATGGGTGGAGGTATGGTTAAGCAGGGTCACATGCCCAGAAGCCCTTGGAGGCCACGCAGGTAATGAGTATGACCTTGCAGTGAACCAGAGGCCCTCTGCCTGGTCTAGGGGGACATCTCTTCAGTGCCAGCCAGTATGTGCCACATGGGAATATGAGCCAAGTTTTGCCAGATGTCCTGATTTTTCAGGAGAAGCCGTAGATAACAGATTCTTTTTTTTTTTTTAAACGAAGTTTCACTCCTGTTGCCCAGGCTGGAGTGCAGTGGCCCAATCTCCGCTCACTGCAGCCTCCGCCTCCCAAGTTCAAGCAGTTCTCCTGCCTCAATTCTCCTGCTTAACACTCTGCTTGTATTCATCATATTCATTGAAATTGAGCTTTCATATATTGTGAATTAAGTGTTGTACTAAAACTTAATGACATTTCTTTCTTCTAGATCGTCAGCATACTTTGTTGCTGTAATCCCCGAGTAGCTGGGATTATTGGCGCCCACCACTAGGCCTGGCTAATTTTTTGTGTTTTTAGTAGAGACAGGGTTTCGCCATGTTGACCAGGCTGGTCTCGAACTCCGGGCCTCAGGTGATCTGCCTGCCTCAGCATCCCAAAGTGCTGGGATTATAGGCGTGAGCCACCACGCCTTGCCTAGGTACAGATTTTAATGAATATATGCCACTGATTCAGATGTTTAAAAGCATGTTTTTGGGCCAGAGTTGGTCACAATGAATAAAATTCATAATTTTTGGTTCTTTATTAAGGACATTCTCAAGTGAAACTTGTTTTCTGCTGGTGTGGCAGTAAAGAATACAGTAAGCATCAGTACAGTTGAGTGGCCCTGCCTTGATTGGTACTCTCACCAGCAATTTTACCACCACTGCTTTTGTACCATCAGTGCAAAAGTCACCATGGTACATATGACAAAATTATATCTTAGTATTATTATGAAAATATCTGTGGCCTCTCAGACCACCTGATAGGATCTTGAGACCTCCCAGGGTAGTGTATACTACACTTTGAAAACAAATGCGTTAGAGGAATGAAAATAAGAGTCTCTATCTTTCAGTCTTTCATAGAGGGATCTAGAAAAGACAGTTTGCTTGCTGGGCAAGGTGGCTCATGCCTGTAATCCCAGCACTTTGGGAGGTCGAGGCGGGCAGATCACGAGGTCAGGAGATTGAGACCAGCCTGGCTAATACAGCGAAACCCCGTCTCTACTGAAAATATTAAAAAAATTAGCCGAGCGTGGTGGCGGGCATCTGTAGTCCCAGCTACTCGGGAGGCTGAGGCAGGAGAATGGTGTGAACCCGGGAGCTGGAGGTTGCAGTGAGCCGAGATCACGCCACTGCACTCCAGCCTGGGTGACAGAGCGAGACTCCATCTCAAAAAGAAAAAAAAGAAAAGAGGGTATGCTCTGTGGGAAGAATCAGAGGTGAATTGTTCACATATGTAAGAATAGGCTGCTTCTCCATCCCTGCAGTGTGTGAAATGTAGATGCTCTGCATTCTAGTGAGGCCTTGGGCCTGAGAAGTAGCAAGTGTTCTGATAAGATTTGAGTGAGGAGCCTGAGGCATTACTTTGATAGAAACTGTGGCATGTACAGGGCACAGTGACTCACGCCTATAATCGCAGCACTTTGGGAGGCCAAAGCAGGCAGATTGCTTGAACCCAGGAGTTTGAGACCAGCCTGGGCGACAGAGTGAGACTCCGTCTCAAAAAAAAAAAAAAAAAAAAAATTAGTCTGGTAAGGTGTCACATGCCCATAGTCCCAACTACTCTGGAGACTGAGGTGGGAGGATCCCTTGAGCCAGGAGTTCGAAGCTGCAGTGAACTGTGATCGTTCCACTGTACTCTAGCCTGGGCAACAGAGTAAGACTCTGTCTCGAAAAGAAAAGAAACTGTGAGAAGGTGTTCTGATTTCATTAGTTATTCCTATATTTATACGTCCCAAAAGTTACAGTGGAGTTTGTGTGAATGGACAGCAAAAAAGTATTACACAAGATGGAATTTGTACATCTACCCAGGAAACATAGAGCCCCCAGTCTCTCTCTTTCTCCCTCTCTTTTCTTTTAACATAAAATTTTCATTTGACTGGAACATGAAGATCACCAGAAATGGTCTTAAGCAAATAAAAAGGTAATTTATTTTATATTTGGAATGGGTGAAATTACCTACCTTAACCTAGAATACTCAATCCTTTTAAATGTACACAGTACCTCTTTAGCCTCTTGTTTTTAGTTTTGTTTAAGACAGGGGTTTCTCAACCTAGGCACTATTGATATTTTAGGCCAGATAATTCTTTGTTGTGGGGGCCATTAAATTCTTTGTTGTGGGGGCCATTACTGTAGAATATATAGCATCAGTACTGCCAGTAGCGTTTTCTGAGGTGCCAGTAGCACCCCTGCCCTGTGAGTTGTGACAACCAACAAATATGTTCAGACATTGCCAAATGTCCCCCCTTGTGGGTGGGGTGGGGGGCACAAAATGCAGGTTGAAAACCCCTGCTTTAGGTGATCTGGACTGTTTTCTGTTTAGCATATGTCTCCTCTGACTCTTAAGAGACTTACAGAAAATGTGACAACTAGGTAATGTGAGTGTCTGTAAGCCCCTCTGTGGCTTGGTCTTTACCTGTTCTTCTTTCTGTCATTCCTATTGAACCTACTCGTATTTACACTTATTCTCCATGCTTATTTTTATTGTTAAGCAGGTAAGAACATCCAACTATTTTCTCTTAAACCATATGTTTAAGAGATTTGCAAAAACACAAAACAATGCCGTTTATCTTCCTATATGTTTTTGGTTGGAAAATGTTATTTACAGTAACAGGTAATTGGTAATTACTGTTTTAAAATGAATTAGTATTTTAAAAGTTTCTCAGTTTTAATTTCTAATGTGGTAAATATCAATAGCTATAGCTTATGTAGACACAAGCTCTTCAGGGTCCTCTATAATTTTTAAGAACATAAAGGGGTCTAAGACCAAAAAGTTTGAGAACCACTGATCTGCAAGATTGCACGTACATATATTTTCTCTAGGACCTGGCATATAAGCACTCAAATCAATAGTAACAGGTAATTTGCAGTAGGTGCATAGGAAGCTAAGAGTGAAGAGATAGTTTGGGGCTAGATTATGAATGATCGATCTTTTGTTCACAGAATCTTTAAAAATTGTGGTAAAATACACGTAACATAAAATTTCCCATAGTGACATTTAGTATATTCTCAATGTGTTGCAACCATTACCATAGTCTGTTTCAGAACATTTCCACGTCTCCATGCTGTCTACCCTGGCTTTTCACCCTATCTATTCTTTCCTGCCTTCACTTCTTTTCAGGGAAGACCTGTATAATTTGTCAGTTTATTCATGTCCTTGCTGCTATTCTAAAGGCTTTGGCTGCTGTTCTTCAACCCTGAGTATCGTATTTTTTTTTCCTCTGGGGCAAATGAACATTGCTATGGATTATTCAGACCAAACAGCAAACTGTGCTAAACGGGACCTGTGAAAACCACTGGTGATGCTTTGTCCTGCCCAGCAGTATGCTATTTAACTGCTTTTGGTTCCTGTATCATTGTTCTCTGCGTGAACAGGTTTTCATCCTCTTTAAGTTTTTTGTATCATTCTTAACTTCCAGTGACGACCTTTCCCCTAGTCCAGCGGGATCCAGGACAGCGACAAGAACTCCCTCAGCTTCCTTCTATTCAGCCTCCTGTTGTTACTCTCTGGGCTTCTGTTTCCTTCATACAGAATCTGGGTGTCTGTCTGGGCTCTTGATTGCCTCGTTTGGAGCCCAGTTCCGTTGGCCTTCCCTCTTCCATGGTTGCCTTTCCCAAGTCTGTTCTGCTGTGTCTGTTCTTGAAGACATCCTTCTGTCTCCCTTAACCTGAGGCACTTCCGTAGTAATCAAGGGGCTGTCTTGTTCTGCCTGTACTGCCAAGCATATTTAAGGAGTCTATACTTGTTTTCACTACCATTTTGTCTTGCAACATGACTTCTACTCCCCACACACTGTGGACATTTCCCTCCCAGAAGTCCTTACGCAGTGTGCAGCCCCAGTCCCCCACATGACTGCAGTGTTTGACTCCGATGACATTGTCTTTTAAGTTCCTGCCCTGGCTTCAGAAACACTATACTCCCTTGGCCTGCTGACCTCCTTCATGGTCCTTCACTGCTTGCTTACGCTGCCTTCTGCCTCAGATTGTAGATGTTCTCTTAAAGCTCTGTTTTTGACTCTATTAAGAGAGGGACCAAATGTCCCTCTCTTAAAATGTACCAAATAATGAGTATTCCTTTTTTTATAAAAACAAATAAGATTAACAAACTGCGATTCTTGTCTGTGAAGTCACTCATACTAAGAATTCTGACCCTCACTGTTACCAGAGAGAAATTGCAGCAATAGAAGATTTTTTGCTAAATGTCTGTGAGAAGCCTCTCTGACCAGGAACTTTGCTTGTTTCTATTTACTGTTTCACGCAGATAGTAGTAAGGGAGTTGGCCCTTCATGCCTCAGATGAAATGAGACAGTTATGATTGGAAGTTATTACATGTGCCCCAGATGGAAAATGAGTTATAGTTGGAGATCACCAAGGGACTATGCTTTCTGCCCCTTCTGCTCCAGAAAAGGAGATAAAAAGGGTTAAGAACACTTAGTTTCTTAGGACTCACTATCCAGTCATGGCTAAGAGTATCTCCCCTTTATCCAAGTGAGCTGTGCTAACTAAGGGGGGCACAATGGCCTGGGCACCAAAATTTTACCACCTGAGGCATAGAGCTGAAAACTGGTGATTTCTGCATATCACTTAGCATGGCATTGAGAAAGGGAATACACGAGCAGCAAAGGGCCCTTTGATTATCTTATGTTCTAACACTTCCGCCTCATCATGAATCTTCAAGTATGGCTTGGCCCCAAGAGGGAAGTTGTTGCTGTTTTCAGTAGTTCCTAAAGCAGTTCTGTGTCGCTCTGTCCTTGCTCTCTGGGTGGGCTCATCATCACCCCCACTGCAGCAGGCCATCAGCTCCCATGTCTAGAGCTCTAGGCCTGTTTTCCTCTCATTTTAGGGGCCTCCTGAATATCTACACATGGAGGTCCTGTTGGTACTAGACAACCAATATGTGCTGATTCCATCACCTTCCCTGGAAATCCCAAACCAGTTTCCCTTTGTGATTTTCTAAGTGCAGTGCACAATATCACCTGGATTGTTTTGCTGATCTCTAACTCTTGGTCTAGGCCACTGCTAGCATATCCAATGCATGGTTTATACCTGGCAGATGAATGGCAAAAAGGTGTCGCCTTTGGGCAGCTGAATTATAAAATGTCTTTCTTTCCTCCAGGTTTACCTTTGAGCCCAGGCCAGTGGCTTGCTCAGCAAAGCAAGGGCTGGACCTTAGCCACCCTCAAGCACTTAGCTGGGCCTTTAAGCAGGACTCAAAGTCCACAACTGTACTCACCTGTCCAACCAGTCTGTCTGGCTTCTCCAATCTAGGCTCCACTGGCAGATTACTTTGCCCCAAGATCCGTTCTAATCTCCTTTTGTTCCTGAAAAACAAACAAACAAAACCCCCCACTGTATCCTGAAAAAAGCCTGAGCACCTTAACCTGTTGCCAAAGCAGAAGAAAGCCTAAACGGCCTCGCCTGCCACTCTTGGTCACTCATGTGACTTCTTTCTCTTTGCCTTGTTTGTGGTGTTCCTTGAAATTTCTTTCTTCTGTTATATAATACATTGTACCTTCTTTTTTATTCCTAAGCTTATTTCCCTTTTGAAACTAAGCTCTGAAGGAAGACACAGTATCTTAGTATCTTTGTGCCCTCTGGCAACCTAATGTAGTGCCTTGCATGTCGCAAGTCTTGAATTCAGTTATGTCAAATAGCCAACATTCCATTCTTCCTCGTGTGGATTTTCTCTAATGAGAGTTGCCCCCTTTTTGCCATCCGTATACAACACAGCCTTTAGAGTCACGCTGTGGCTACTTTCTGTACAACTTGGGAAAGTTCTTCCATCTCTCCAAGCCTCAGTTTCTTGCTGTTAAGGGGGATAAATAATTATACCTATCACAGAGAGTTACTATAACAATTAAATGAGTTAATTCATGTAAAATACCTGACATGTAATAAGCTGCACTTGAATGATAGCTACTATCCTAATAATAATAATAATGTTGTTGTCATCATCTGGGTTACCAGCTGATGATAAGTCAAAAGGTATATGTTAGACCGTAAGTCTGTGTCTGACTACCTAGACCTGTTTATTTTTTAAAACTAAATCATTCTTTTTTGTTGTGACTAAATACTCCCAGGCTTAATAAAGTTGAGTATGTCCAGCCATTTCATACTGAAGTTACAAATTTCCATGTATGCATTTAAATGCTAAGCTTAAGTGTCCCCTGTTGGGTTGTGTTTATTATATCTGGTAAGTCTTTATTTGTTTCTACAGATATGGTGTTGGTCCTGCCACAATGGAAGTGCCCTTTTGAAAATGTCAGCACTGCCCAAAGAACAGGATGATGGCATTTTACAAATCCAAAAGAGCTTCTTAGATGGGTCAGTACTAGTTCTACATTTTGTTCTTGTTCAGTTCTTATTTTCCAAGAAGCAGGGAACAGATCTTAGTAGTATGTCTATTTCTATTTACCTACTGGTAGCTTAGTGCTAGGGGAATACAACTTACAGTGATCGTTTTGAGTTAATTTGAAAGGAGTCAGTATAACATAATAGTTAAGAATGTCACCTGCGTTGTTTTTAGAGGTGCACGCTAAAGTCTTCAGCAGGGAAGTGACATGATGTCTGTAATGTTAACAATTGTCAAATTTAGGTCATGGTACATGTCTCTATACTATTCTACTTTCTGCATGTTTCAAATTAAAAACAAAAAACCAAAAAAACCCAAAGTAGATGAATTAAAAAAAAAAAAAGAAGGAATAGACTCAGAGTTACATTGCCTTGGTCCAGATCATGGCTCTATCAGTTTATAAATTGGATAATCTTGGGCCGGGCAGTTTTACTCTATGCACCTCCATTTCCACACCCATTGACTGGGAACAGGAGTCCCGCAGCAATTGCCTGGTAGGTGAAGATTAAATGGAAGAATGCCTACTGAGCCCTTAACACAGATTGTGGCACATAGTAAATCCTTAGGCAAAATTTGTGTTTGCTCTTCTAATCTCATATTCCTTTTTGATACCTAGAGTTTACAAGACCATCCACAGGCCACCCTATGAAATTGTTAAAACGGAAGACCTGTCAAGCAACTTCCTATCCCTGCAGGAAATCCAGACTGCATACTCTAAATTTAAACAGCTATTTCTGATAGGTGAGAAGAATACTGAGCAAAAACTTTTGTGTCATGGGGAAAGACATGCCAGGCAGATCAGGTGAAAGTTGGTGCCTTTTCCCTGGGTTCCTTAAGGTAGTATGCAGAGCCCAGGGCTGCGATGTCATGGAGCCCGGGGTCTGGCTGCCTTTACCACGCTTCCCTCCTCATCTCTCTCCAGGCTTTCCCCCACTGCCTCCTTATTGTGGCAGTGATAACACGGCCACCCTCCTCTTCTCCCCTTCCTCAGCATACCAGTTGCCCAGTGGTGAGCATTTTGGTTTCTTCCTTTAAAAGTTTTTTATCTATGTAGCATTTATATTTGTTGACTTGCAGTGATTTATAAAGTGAATAATGTTCATTTTCCTGTGTAGACTTTTTCCCAAAGTGGAAATGCTTTAATTTTTCCCCCTGATTGGGAATATACAGTTTCTAACAATATTAAAAGTTTTATTAAAAGTGTACAAAATAGAAAATGAAATATGCCCATCCCAGCTACCCCCATTTTCCTGCCCAGGCTGCCTACTGGTGCCTCATATTTAACACTGCTCAGTCACTCATTGATTCTCTTCATTCTAGAATGAGACTTTACGCTCTGAGATTTGTCATACCTATAGGTAACTTTTCCTAACTTGGACATTTTTTTTTTCTTTTTTTTTCTTTGAGACAGGGTCTCACCTCTGTCATCCAGACTGGAGTGCAATGGCATGATCACAGCTCACTGCAACCTTAAAACTCCCAGGCTCAAGTGATCCTCCCACCTCTACCTCCCAAGTAGATGGGATTACAGGCACATGCCTCCTCACCTGGCTAATTTTTGTATTTTTTGTAGAGACAGAGTCCCATAATGTTGCCCAGACTGATGTTGAACTCCGGGGCTCAAGCGATCCTCCACTTTGGCCTCGCAAAGTGCTGGGATTCTAGGCATGAGCCACTGCCTGGACTAACTTGGACTTTTTAGCCTAGCAAATGCTTAACTATTTTGGGATTCATTCCGTGACATTTTTTGAGTTTCCATTGAACAAGGGGTGTTCAAAAAGTTCATGGAAAATGTATATTATGAAAAAACTATGCATGAATTCCCAAACTTTTTTACCCCAAAATAACTCTACTAACTTATTATAATATGCCTGAGCAGGATCTGGTCTGAGGAGCTAAGAAGGGTAAGAAATTAGTTTGAAAACAGCCCCTATTAGAGCAACATGAATTCTGCTGAAATTGAAGCAAAAACAAATATTGAATTTATGGTGAAGCTTGGGTGGAAGAATGGTAGAATTATTGATGCTTTATGGAAAGTTTACGGAGACAATGCCCCAAAGAAATAAGCAGTTTACAAATGGACAACTCATTTTTAAGAAGGAGCAGATAATGTTGAAGATGAAGCCTGCAGCAGCAAACTGTCCACATCAATTTGCAAGGAAAAAATTAATCTTGTTTCTGCCCTAATTGAAGAGGACCAACAGTAGAAGAAACAATAGTCGATTCCATAGACATCTCAATTGGTTCAGCCTACACAATTCTGACTGAAAAGTTAAAGTTGATCAAACCTACTCACTGAGCGTAGTGGCTGATGCCTGTAATCCAGCACTTTGGGAGGCTGAGACGGGCGGATCACTTGAGTTCAGGAGTTTGAGACCAGCCTGACCAACATGGCGAAACCCCATCTCTGCTAAAAATACAAAAAGTAGCCGGGTGTACTGGCAGGTGCCTGTAATCCCAGCTACTTGGAGGGGCTGAGGCAGGAAAATGAACCTGGGAGGCAGAGGTTGCAGTGAGCCAAGATCATGCTACTGCTCTCCAGCCTGGGTAATAGAGCAAGACTCCATCTCAAACAAACAAACAAACCTTCTACTCAGTAGGTGCCAAAACCATTGTGCCCAGATTAGATTCAGATGAGAGCAGAGCTTTCAACAGAAATTTTAAACAAGTGGGATCAAAATCCTGAAGCATTTCTTTGAAGAATTGTTAACAGGAGAAGAAACATGGCTTTACCAGTACGATCCTGAAGACAAAGTACAATCAAAGCAATGGCTACTGAGAGGTGGAAGTGGTCCAGCCAGGGCAAAAGCAGATGGGTCAAGAGCAAAGGTCATGGCAACAGTTTTTTGTGATGCTCCAGCCATTTTGCTTGTTGACTTTCTGACCAAACCTCTCTGCTTATTAGGAGAGGTTTTTGGTTTTTTTTGAGACAGATTCTCACTCTGTCGCCCAGGCTGGAGTGCAATGGTGTGATCTTGGCTCACTACAACCTCTGCCTCCTAGGTTCAAGTGATTCTTATGCCTCAGCCTCCTGAGTAGCCACGCCCAGATAATATTTGTATTTTTAGTAGAGGCAGGGTTTCACCATGTTGTCCAGACTGGTCTTGAACTCCTTACCTCAAGTGACCTGCCTTCCTTGGCCTCCCAAAGTGCTGGGATTATAGGCATGAGCCACCGTGCCCAGCCATAAGAATGTTTTAAGAAAGTTGGCCAAAGCTTTAGTAGAAAAATGCCCAGGAAAACTTTGTCAGAGGGTCCTTGTGTACTGCTCATTCCTCCTATCAAACAAGGGCAATTTTGCAAGAGTTTTTTTGTCTTTTTTTTTTTTTGGAGACGGAGTCTTGCTCTGTCGCCCAGGCTGGAGTGCAGTGGCCGGATCTCAGCTCACTGCAAGCTCCAGCTCCGCCTCCCGGGTTCACGCCATTCTCTCCTCCACTGCCTCAGCCTACCCAAAGTAGCTGGACTAAAGAAGACC